CTTGACAATTGCTTCGACATGAAACTCGGAGATGTGCAAATAATGTTAGGTATTATGTATATTTCTTAATATATATATTAAATAGGTATTGAGGTCTCACACTTATACGCACACTCATACTAATATATATATACATACATACATACACATGTAATGGCCCACTGGGTAGATGGACCAATACTATTTATATTATTATACTTTTAACGTACAGGATTCAAGTAAACAACAAAAACTCCAAACTGTGAATCAACAAGTATATATTGAAATAAGATACAAGGACAAACATGCAATAAAATTGTATTCAATGTATAGATTAAGGGAAAGAAGTTGTTCCCCTTTAATTGTATTTTGGTTTGTAATTGATTGTTTGAAGGAAGTTCTTTTTGAGAGAAAAATGTTCAGCAACCAATATTAGAACACAGGTCTGTTAGAATAGATAACACAAGAATACAATTGATCAGAAATGTGTTGTGTTATAGAATGGTTCGAAATTAGCAGAGTCCTGGTTGATTGAGCTTGACTAAGTCACAGAGAGAAGTGTGAGTTTATATTACAAAATTCTGTGTCTGTGTGTGCGTTTGAAATGTTATGAGTAAGATCGTGGACTCGTTTGAACAGGCGAAACTACTGGATCCTACTGATGATTTGTGAAAACGTCCCCTCTTTTAAGGAAAAAGAATAGGCCCCCACAGAGGCGCTGGAAAAGGTTAATCTTGCACTAAAATATGTGATTGGTTAAAAATTAACCAATCACTACATTCGTACTAACAAAACAGGCAAGCAAGCTCAAAACCGAAGGATTCAAAGAAATGACTGCGATGGCTAAATTATCCTATAGAAAAGTAGTATTGATTTATTAACCAATCGAAGACGAATAAAATGTGGGCGTCGAAAAACATAGCAATCGCTACACACACATAGACATATTCACTAAAAACTAAAATACAATTATAACCACATGCCATTCTCAGCAACCAATAAAACAGTCAAAATGATCAAGGAGAGTAATTCTTTAAGTCAGGAATCTTCCATCCGCTATTTTAACAACAACTTGAAAGAAGCTGTTTATCCAACATAAAGGATTGACCAAAATTAAAGATGAAAAAAAACAAATGAAAACTACAGATAAAGTTCACTTACTTCAGAAACAGTCATTCACACCTTTAGTTCCCTGCTACTAATAAGCAGGATTTTTTTCTCCTGATGATGGTCATGCTCGCCGAAACTAGTCGAGGAAAATAAAACAAAAAATCATTAATATACAATCCAATGTGTCTGAAAATTTTAAATTTTTAATATTTTCTTATTGTTCAAAACACACAGACACACACACACACACACACACACACACACACACACATATATATATATATATATATATATATATATGAAGAAATATAGTGTGTTTTCGCATAACCATTATTCCCCCGTTACCCCAGCATCTGGAATAATTGCATAATATCATCGTAACGTCCAAAGAGGTCTAATTTGATAGTTTGTTCCCCCTTTTTCGTCCTTTATTACCGGTTAGAAATCTCCTGTGTTTTGACTTCCTATTGACTTTATTTTTCGGTTTCCTTCTTTCTTCCTCCCCTACTATCTGACTTTATACAAAGCATGTATGATCACGAATTTCTCACCAATAGTTTTTTTTTTTTCCCCCCTTCTCGTTTCGTTTCGTTTCTAAAAAACATATATTTAATTTTATAATTAATAGATTAGGGTTTTTACTCGTCAACATGTTTTAAACGTGTCATTAAGATTTTTATTACCATCCTCGGTTTAATTCGCTGTATTTATTCATTTTAATCGCATAAACGAGATTATTTTTTTTTTTTTTTACACGTTTACATGTTTTAAACGTTTCATTATGATATATATATATTTTTTTTTCTTTTTTTCTTTTTTTTTTTTAAGCCCTCTTGCGTTAACTCGCTCTAATTGTTTATTTCTATTTCATTCTTTTTTTTCTTTTTTTTTATTTGTCAACATGTCTTAGATGTTTTATATAATTTATAAGATCTCTCGGTTTTAACTCGCTGTAATTTATTTATTTCTTATACATACATTATTATTCGTAAAGTGTTAAAACAGTTTTATTTATAAGCACTTTCGGCTTGATTCGCTGTATTCTATTTATTAATTTCAATGGCTGTATTTCTTATCTCTGTATATAGTAATTATTGCTAGTGAAATGAAACGTGAGGGGAAGTGGGTAAAAACGGAAAACATAATTACCTTCTAAGTATCCGATGAAGGGGTGTCCACCAAAAAAAAAAAAAAGTAAAAAATTACCCGTAAACGGCTTAAATAGATCTCGCACCGTTGTGATTGGCTGTTGGTCAAGCTCCAATCAAACGTGAGATTACGGGGTATTCTCATAAAAGTCAGCACAGACAAGCATTTTTTTAGAGGGCGTTTCAGAGTCTGATCAGCTCTGAAAGGGTCGATTTGGTGAGGTCAGTATGATGTTTGAAGGACCCGAAACTGCCCAATGATCCATCTCCAGAACATCACTGACGACGCCCTCTAGCGCTAAAAGAGCGTATATTCAAAGCAGTCTTAAGGTGTGCTATATTTATGGGATAAAGTGCTCAATATGGGAGATAGAGCGCGTGTAAATATAAAAGTGAACATTGAAGTCAACACTTAGACAGTCTGTTTCATGCCAGATGCAATCGTCAGGCCAGGATCAGGTGACCTGACGATTGCGTCTAGCATGAAAACAGACTGTCGCCTTTCTAAGTGTTGACTTCAATGTTCACTTTTATATATATATATATATATATATAACGAAATGGATTTAAATGCGATAGATTTTATTTATTTATTTGTTTGTTTAAACGTTTTTTTTTTAAATGGATACTCATATTTGAGTAAATGCACTGTTTTTAATTATCTATTAAAAACAGTATATATATTTATTTATTTACGTCTACTGGTCTGATTATTCGAGAAATTTTGTTAGAAAGTGGATGCATATTTTTATAAGACAATTAAAAAAAACAAAACAATCCATTTCGTAATATATATATATATATATATATATATATATATATATTAAGAAATGGACAAAGTCCGACAATTTATTTATTAAAGACATTTTTATGTTTAACGTTCTTTTTTATAGATAGAAGTATTTAAGTAAATGCTCTGTTTATAATAAACAGTATTAGATAACATTTACCGGCCTGAATGTCCGAGAAATTTTCATAGAAAATATTCGTCCTTTGACAGGATTCGAACCTATACAGAACCGTCATTTACGCTGACGTGCCTAACCTCTCGGCCACAAAGGAGCGAATTTACTGCTTATAAACTTCAATCTTCCATGAATCTCGTACATTGATAACTGTTCTGGCGTATCAAATGTAAACAAATGACGTCATATATTAAGAAATGGACAAAGTCCGACAATTTATTTATTAAAGACATTTTTATGTTTAACGTTCTTTTTTTATGTTTTTTTCTTTATAAAGAACGTTAAACATAAAAATGTCTTTAATAAATATTTATATATATATATATATATATATATATATACCAAAATTAGCTGGAAAATGAAACAGGACTAGAGACTTTAACTTAATTCTATAAATGAATTTGAATCATGGTAATCCCTGTGTAGCGATGGAACCATATTTTTAAAATAGTAAATTTATAATATTTATGCTCTGTAGATTTGCACTGAGCACTGTATTGTAAAAAAATAAAAATATTAATAAGAACACCGGCTTATATATCTTATTGTTCTTTCTCTTTGTCGCGGTTGCAAAAAGATGTGGACATATTATGTAATTTTTTGTTTAATTTTAATAATTGTTTCATTAAAGCTATTAAACTGTAGTAAGTAAAGTTATTGCTAGTTATTTATTATTAGTAAACACACACATTGTATGTAATTACGACAATTATGCAGATTGTTGACTATATGAAATTAAAGGAAATATGTATAGAAATGTAGTAAATCACAAAACACTACACAAAAATGAAAATGTGGGGTTTATACCGAGTCCGTTCATATCTATCTATCTATCTATCTATCTATCTATCTATCTATCTATCTATCCCAATACATTCATATTTATCAGAGGTCGTTCACATCTATCTATCTATCTATCTATCTATCTATCTATCTATCTATGAGTGAGAATTTGTGTCTGTGTGAGTTAGTGTGTGTAGCTATCTATCTCTGTATCTGTAAACCACTTGAATGATCTCTGTGCCATAAAAAGACACCTAAGCGCACACACACACACACACGCACGTACGCGCGCGCGCGCCCGCTACTGCCTAAGAAAAATTCGTGTTGATAAAACCATCATTCTAAAGAAATAGAATTGTCGGCAACGTCTTAGGATAATGGAAGCTCTTCATATAAAACAGTTCAACCATACCCATTCTGACAATTGGCAGTAACGTGCTGGTGCTCTTTTAAAAGACATCCCAACATGGAAACACAGCCGTATTTCTACCACTTTCACACAATATAACTTAGAATAGAAACATTGAAAACCTAGTAACGACGGACTGCTTGAAAATGGCTAATGTATTTGGCGAAAGAGCTTGATATGGATCATTTCTACACTGCCTTCGTCCGCCCAAAGAAAACTCTAAGAACATTAGAAAAACTTAAAAAAAAATCTCATAAGAGTTTTCTTGTCTGTCACACTCAATGAAACATGTATAAAAGAAAGGTTGCTACCCAAATATACAATATATAACTATAAACATACAATTTCTTATAATTATAAATTTTATTTTAGTAGTTGTTTGGATATCAATCTTTTGCAGGTTATTGAAAGCCAGAAAATAGTTTTAGAATTTTTCTGCTATAATAATTATGTAGTGATACAAGTGTTACTATTTAACCCATATCCGGGGAAAGAGTTGGATTCATAACCTTCCCAAGGGTATTTGTGTGCAAATAAATATAACGAACACAACTGAAATTGGACCTTAGCTCTGCGATTAACAACTCCGATCTATTACTCACCCCGTACAGTACCTGGTATTCCCAAGCAGTCACCCATCCAGATACTGACTAGGATCAGTGTTGCTTAACTTCGGTGATCATAAGTGAATCGGTGTTTCAAGGCGACATGGTCATAATCTTATTTTATTGTGTACGCGTGTTTAATTTGACGTCCTTATTATTTGAAACAGTGAAATTAATGTCAACCGGCCTAGAGGTCGAGAAGTCTTAATAAATAAATTTTCTGTGTATATGTTCATTTAAATTCAAATCTATATAATTACTAAAAATATATATGGGTGTACGAATATATATATATATATATATATATATATATATATATAAATATAGATAACTAGACTAGGTGTATCTATCTATCTATCTATCTATATATATATATATATATATATATATATATATATATATATATATATATATATATAATTTAATTAAAGGAAAAGTGATTTTAAAAAATATTAAATGTAAAAATCACAAAAAATATACAAAAATGAAAACTTGAGGCGCATGGTTAAGATTTGGCTCTAAGTACACACGTACACCCACACCACATACATATACATATGTATGTATTAACTTTTTGTTTACTATAATGTCTATTTGATGATTCCCAGGTGTTGAAATTGGAAAAAAAGAAAAACCGAGAAAAGTGAAGAGTGGCTGTGGGCAGACGTTGAAAGACGCTCTGAAAATGGAGTCTCCCGAAGGATGATTAGCACCGTTCTTTGGTTTGTTGTTGCCTTTTGAATTCGCGCCATTTTCTTCCTGTTTCTTTCTATTTCCTTCCTTTTTTCTTATCATTAGGTTTTTTCTTTATCCTTCCTCTTCCATTTACTCGTTCTCTTCTTTTTTTTCCTTCGCATGCAGAGAGTATTGTCCCATCCCTGAAAAAGCTATTGACTTTTCCTTGTAGCTTTTTATTTCCGTGTTCGTACCACACAAGGTCAGTAGCTGAGATAGGGTAAGAAAGATTGGACAGTCGTCTGCTTTGAAAATCAGCATGAGAAAGATTGCTTCTGTTTTTTTTTTTTTTTTTCTTAGGCCCGATTAATAAACATGACGACTGCCACTAGAACGCACGATGGGTAAATGTGAATAAATTGCACTTGAGAGGGTATCCTGATTGTTGGTACCTTGAGGAAAATAAGCAGATATGCTCTAGAAGTTATGAAGTTCTTGAATTGTTTTTTATGAATACGTTTGAATGTAAGGATAACACAACTAAACGGCAAGTCTCAGTTAGCCAATTTTAACATGGACAACCACAAGATAAAGTACTATAATGGACTGAATAAAGTTCTTGAATTGTTTTTTATGAATACGTTTGTATATCTGGACAACACAGCTAAAGATCAAGTCGCGGGTGGCTAGTTTTTAGCGTGGTTGACTGCTAGACCAAGTACTAAAATAGACTAAATGGTTTTTTCTCTTAGTAACAACTGTATAAAATACAAAGGAGTTCGATTGTACAAACAACATTTTAGATACAAATGTATGTTTATAAAATTGGATACAAAATAAGAAAATTCGGTTATCCAATTTTCTATTCACGAATATTGTGCTAGCTTTGAAAATCATGGTTCTTTTGTTTCTTTCCAGTCGAAAAGGATCTAATCTAATTTCATATTTTCTTCACACTGATTTCTTCATCCGTGTGATTATTTGTTGGTTCGTGCCTTTCGGCTTCGTTTTTAAATCCGAAATGTTGTGGGAACATTTAATTTTATTCAGTTATTCTAAAGATTTTTAAAAAATGTCATGCGGAAAATTGGGGGACAGAAAAAACATTGAAGAACAATGCGATTCACTCGTTACGGTTGAGGAAAAAAATCAATACAAAAAAGACCTCAGTTACAAATATAAAAATAAGAAAGAAACGAATAAATAAATAAAGACCCTCTAATCTAATCATCCCTATAATTATTTCCGTGGCGGCTACTGGGTTGGGTAATGTAGTTTAACATCGCTTTGTGTGTGTGTGTGTTTGTGTGTGTGTGTGTTTGTGTGTGTGTGTGTGTTTGTGTGTGTGTGTGTGTGTGTTTGTGTGTGTGCGCATGTGAGCGCGCGCTCACGTGTGTTTGTGTATTGTCTTATCGACTTCTTTAGCCTCGTTCTGACAAAAGCAAATTCGAGGCGTAAAACTGAATACGACCTCTCCGGTCATGATGAACTGTTGCACTCTGAAACAGGCCCCAAGTCTATTGAGCCTCGAATTCATCCCAGAGCTCAAATGGAACTCATATATACACTCCAAAGCAAAAGTAGTTGAAAAAAATGATTTATCTTTGCAAGAGTTAGACCAGTCCAAAAGTGGAGTATTGCTGCCGTATTTTGTGCTGGTTCTACTCAATCTTTCCAAACTTGTTAGAGTTCAAAACCATTTACGCTTTCTTGTCGGGAGACAACTCTTAGCAGTCTCTTTCCCACAGATACAACATTGCAAGCCTATCGCTAATTACTATTTCCGTAACAAACATCCAATTGAGATGCATTTGTTAGTTCCACCAGTTCAGACGTTTAGACCTACGAATCACTAAGCTACGTACAAATCCTTATTTCTCACATGTTCAAAATGTAAGTGCGATATTCAATTCTGACAGCATTTTTTTTACAAGAATTGCCACTTTATAGAACATACTCCCGCGTGGGTGTTTCCCCGAATGTTTTAATCTTCAATTTAAAAAAAATAGAAGGAAATATAACAACTGTCTCTTGGCTCAATCAAGTTGTTATCTTTCCTTATAGTGTTTTTTTTTTTTCTACGGTTTTCTCTCTACTTAAACAATCCGTTCCCGCCTATACAATCACCACCTCTAGCACCATTTTTCCTCTTCAAGTATCAACAAGAAATACGAAGAAATTCATATTTTTATTTTATTATTTTTCCCTCAATAAAAGTATATAGGTTAGCCTATCGTCCGGTTCACACTCTTCGCCGGTTTCTTGAATATAAGTCGAGGTTTATCCCTTGTTTCCTGTGTAGGTTTGGGTTTCTGCTTCATACTAAAGTCTACATCAACTCTAACGTTTCCGCCTAAACTCTGAAAATTTATTTACTATTTGTTATTTTCCTCAATAGGAGTAGATAGGTTCGCCAATCGTCCGGTTCACACTCTTCCCCAGTATTTTGAACAGGAGTAAAGGTTTATCAATTGTTTCTTGTAAAGGATTGGGTTTCCGCTTCATACTAAAGTCTACATCAACTCTAACGTTTCCGCCTAAACTCTGAAAATTTATTTACTATTTGTTTTTTTCCTCAATAGGAGTAGATAGGTTCGCCAATCGTCCGGTTCTCACTCTTCCCCAGTATTTTGAACAGGAGTAAAGGTTTATCAATTGTTTCTTGTATAGGATTGGGTTTCCGCTTCATACTAAAGTCTACATCAACTCTAACGTTTCCGCCTAAACTCTGAAAATTTATTTACTATTTGTTTTTTTCCTCAATAGGAGAAGATTCGTTCGCCTAATGAACGGTTCACACTCCTCCACGGTCTTTTGAACAGGAGTAGAGGTTTATCCTCTGCTTCCAATTTAAGATTGTTTTTTTTCTAAACTCTTCTTATTTTCGCTGCCCGTATCCCCTTGCGTCTTAGTGACATTATCGCCTTGCATGGCGAAAGCATTAAGTAGGAGGAAAAAGAGGGAGAATTTCATTGAACGGTGATTATATGACTGTTGCTGCTGCCGCTGATGATGCCAAGGAACAATATAAACTTGTAACAGGAAAGTTTATTTCTTTTTTTTTTTACGTTCCAAGTCCCCTCAGGATGTTGGCAATTATGGCTCTCTACATTTTCCTGTCTGTCGCAGGTTCCTATAAAGTTTGTCTTTTCACCATCTCTCCCAAAACTTCCTTTGTCATCCATTAAAAAAAACTCGTCAGGTAAGTTATGGCTTGTTTCCTTTGTCTCTCCTAATTTCGATCTGTCCTGTGAGTATCAAAATTTCCATGCCCTCTTTCTTCATTATGTGGACTAGAAATTTCAACTGTCCCTTCCTGGTGTTAAGTATGAGTGTTCTCTTTGTTGCCATTTTCTTTACAAATTCGCCGTTGCTAACATGTTTGGTCCATTGTATTCTCAGGATCGTTCTGTCGAGCCATATTTCTGTTGCTTCAAGTCTTTTCTTCATCTGTCGGGATATTGTCCAGCATTGACTGCCATATAGGAGGACTGATATTACATGACAGTTCAAGACTCTTTTATTTGCACAAGCATATTTCTATTGCTTCAAGTCTCTTCTTCATCTGTCGGGATATTGTCCAGCATTGACTGCCATATAGGAGGACTGATATTACATGACAGTTTAAGACTCTTTTATTTGCACAAGCATATTTCTATTGCTTCAAGTATCTGCTTCATCTGTCGGGATATTGTCCAGCATTGACTGCCATATAGGAGGACTGATATTACATGACAGTTCAAGACTCTTTTATTTGCACAAGCATATTTCTATTGCTTCAAGTATCTTCTTCATCTGTAAGGAGATTGTCCAGCTTTCACTCACTATCGGAGGACCAATATTACACAATAATTAAGTACCCTTTTCTTTGTAGAAGCACATTTCTGTTGCTTCAAGTCTCTTCATCATATGTGGACATATTGTCCAGCATTGACTTCCATATAGAAATAAGGAAAAAGAAACAGAAAAAAATCGTTAGAAACAAGGAAATGTGTACTGAACTTTTATGTAATATCTGTCCATATTACATAAAAGTTCAGTACACATTTCCTGAATTCTAACGAAATTTTTTCTGTTTCTTTTTCCTTATTTTCTCAGTGTATTTAGGCAAAGCAAAAAAGAAAAAAGTCGATATCTGTTTTTTCTGAGTACAAATGGCTTGTCTGAACCCCAGAAATCAGCATTTTGTTTTCTAGTTTGCTGTCTTTTTCTTCAACAATCAAACTCGATATTTCTCACTTTGATATTTACTCTTTTTCTATATTCGTAGTAAACCGGTCATTTCATTTCAATTTCATGTTGCCAGTACACGCATATAAATACACGCGCATATATAAACTGAGAACTCTTCAGCATCCTGTCGTGTCTATATATGCTTTGAGGTGGTGATCCTCTTCACTAGAATTGCTACAGATGAGGCCCTGTTTGTGGCTCGA